GCTCTTAGAGTAAGGCATCCAAAGCCTTTGTCAAGACTTTTAAAAAAAATCACATTAAGTCATATTTTAGAAAAGTTAAAATTACTTTTAATTAGGAGTAATTAATAGTTTTTTTTTTCATAAAAACAAGATTCTATTTTGTTTATTGTAATACTTTTCTCTCTATATATATATATAGAAAATGTCTTATTTATCCTCTTTCACACTCTCCACGGTTAATATTGTACTATTTTTTCTTTCTTTCAAATTATATATTGGACTATAAAACAAACATACAACATTTGTTTATGAATTGAATAAAATATTACATCTTTAAATTTTTAAATATTTTTTTTTGTCATAATGAATTTTTTTAAACTTTTTCCCATTTATAACAAAAACAATTTATGTTCTTTTATAGTCCAATAATTACAAATTTATTCAAAATTTTTAAAATATTATAAATAATTTTACATCTTAAATTTTTACATCTTAATATTATTTTAAGCCTAAATAAATAATTAAATATTAAGTTGTCATACGTTCGTAAAATGACTTTATTTTTAATATTAAATTAATATTTTAACATGTGCGATACAGATTAAATATTTATTATATGTAACTAAAATTTAAAATAAATTATGTATATAAATAAATATTATATTTGAATATATAAATTATATTTAAAATTTGAATAAGTAAATATTTTTAAATATATACATTATATTTTATATTTATAATAAATAATTTATATTTTAGCAAAAATTAATTTTTTATTATTAATAATTAATGTTAAAATTATTAAAATTTAATTCATATAATTATGATAAATAAAAATTAAATTTGATATAAAGTTAAAAGAATTCCTAAAAATCTCTAATAATTTTTTTTTTAAAAAATACTCTCATGTAATATAATTGTTTATGTTTTATATATAGGAGTTGATTTATTAATTAAAGGTAACATAAATTAAAATATAAATTATAGCTTGATTGATTTTCATTTAGCCTAAAAATTTGGTAATAAATTTATTTGGATTTAAATTCGATTTGACCAAAACTCAATAATACATAATATATAATTAATTAGTCAACCTAATTTATTAACATAACATTTAACATCAGATATCAAATTAAAATTAAGATATTTTACTATATATTCTAAAGCAAATAATACCAATATAAATACGATATTATGTTAAGTAAAATGATATTTTACTATATATACATTATAACTGGAATCCACATCCATTAAAACTCTTAAATTTTTGGTTTTAAAATCCAAACTTAAGATTGGGTGGTAATTGCATCAGAGAAGGGTTGTTCAAATCAAACCCGAATTGCAACTTGTGTAAAAATTAAAGTCGGTTTTGAGATTTTCAAGTTGATCCATGTAAATAAAGCCGAGTCCAGAGTTAATTTGAAAAGTCATCGTAGGCACATTTTTCCGTGTGTTGACTTTCCCAAATTCGAACACGGAAACGCTATAAATAACAGCCACCAACCTTCATCTCTCTCAAATCCTTCACGAAACCACTCAAACCTAAATTTTCTCTTCACAACTTCAACTCGAACCAATTGAGAAATGGAGGAGATCGACGTGCCTCCGTTTTTCGTGTGCCCCATTTCCCTCGAACTCATGAAGGACCCCGTAACGGTGTCTACGGGAATCACCTACGACCGCGAAAGCATCGAGAAATGGGTCTTCGCCGGAAAGAACGACACGTGTCCCGTCACGAAGCAGAGCCTGATCCTCCCTGACCTCACTCCGAACCACACGCTCCGCAGACTCATCCAAGCCTGGTGCACCGTCAACGCCTCCCACGGCGTCCAACGGATCCCAACTCCCAAAGCACCCGTCGACAAAGCCATCATCGAGAAACTCCTCAAAGACGCTTCGGACTCCCCGAGCCTCCAGCTTCGGTCCCTCCGCACCCTAAAATCGATCGTATCCGTAAACCAATCCAACAAACGCTGCGTCGAATCCGCAGGCGCAGTCGACTTCTTAGCATCGCTTATAATAACCAACACCAACGCCACTTCCTGCGTGGTGGACGATGTGGACCTAGAGCTGAAAACAAATGTATCAGACGAAGCCTTGAGTTTGTTACACGCCATTCATCTATCCGAGTCGGGTTTCAAGGCTCTGCTAACTCACTCAGAGTTCGTAAACTCTTTAACAAAGATCATGCAGAGAGGAATCTACGAGTCACGCGCTTACGCCGTTTTCTTGTTGAAGTCCATGACGGAGCTGGCGGATCCGGTTCAGTTGATTAACCTAAAACTAGAGTTGTTCACGGAGCTAGTGCAACTTCTGAAGGACCAGATTTCGGAGAAGGCTTCCAGAGCGACGCTTCAGACGCTGATTCAGGTGTGTCGATGGGGGAGGAACAGAATAAAAGCGGTGGAGGCGGGTGCGGTTGCGGTTATCGTTGAGCTTCTTCTGGATTGCAAGGAGAGGAAAGCGTGCGAGATGATGCTCATTCTGTTGGAGATTCTGTCGCAGAGTGCGGACGGAAGGGCGGCGCTGTTGGCGCACGCGGCGGGGGTGGCGGTGGTGGCCAAGAAGATTCTTAGGGTTTCGACGGTGGCCAACGATAGGGCGGCGAAGATTCTGCTGTCGGTGTGCAGATTCTCGGCGACGGCGGCGGTGGTGCAGGAGATGGTGGAGCTCGGGGTGGTGGCGAAGCTGTGTCTGGTGCTGCAGGTTGACAGTGGGGAGAGGGCGAAGGAGAAGGCGAGGGAGATTCTGAAGCTGCATGCTAGGGTGTGGAGGAACTCCACCTGTGTGCCCAGGAATTTGCTTGCTTCTTACCCCATTAATGTGTGAAGTGTGAATGAAAGAAAAGGGAAATGAAAATTCAAGTTTTGAGTTCTTGTTAGCTGCTCCTCTTGTTTTGCTTTTGCTGTTCTTCCTGTACAGGATTATTATTGTATGGAACCAAGATAGGTGCGTGGGGCGTCCAAGATTGCCCCAGTGAAAAAGAAAAAAATTGGAATTTATTATGAAATGCTGACACACAACATGTTTTTGTGAAATTCTGATGATGCTCTTGTTCTTGATTATTGCTGCTTTTTTCTTTTTTTTATATGCGATCGTGAGGGTTTTAATCTTTGAATATGAGGCCATTTAAAATAGTGTTTAGCCCAAAACATGTTTTCTTTATTATGATGCTGTTGTTGCTTGATTACTACTGGGTTTTTGTTTTTTTAATGCGATTGTGAGGGTTTTAAATTTTGAATGTGATGTTTAATGGATGAAAACGTAAATTAGTTCTTAATTATAAACTTTAAAATATTGTTTGGATCATGTTTATGAATGAAAAAAATTAATATGATCAAAGCAGTGACGGATCCAAAAATTTTAGATAGTGAGGGCAATATTTATTCATATATTTGTAATATTAAAAATTTTATATATAATTTTTAAAAGTATAAATAGATATTATAATTATTTTTTTATAAGTTTTTATATCTATAATCACGATTAAGGATAGAAATAAATTAGGTCAGACTATGTTATATTATAATTTAATATATTTGAGCCTAACTTTCTTTAAAAATACATGTTCTAAATATGACATATTTATCTGCATAAACATTTTTTAAATGTTTAGTTAAAACTACAATCTTAAATACCTACTTTATAATAATTTAAAACTAATAAAAATATAAAAATAAATATGATAAATTTTATAAAAATCAAGTTTAATTTACTTATGATATAAACATGTTTTTAATATATGATATAAATTTTTAGATGATAATTTATTTTAAAACATATTTTATAATAAAAATTATAAATAGATCTTCTAATCTTTCCTATTTTGATTTTTTAAATCAACATATACAATCTTACAATTTTTACTATTTTGATTTTTTTATCAACATATACAATAAATAGAAAGCACAAAAGGTAAACATGCATGTTGTAAATTTTATTTTATCAAAAAATAATATATTATATTATACATGTGAGCATTAATATATATACATACATATATATATAT